AGCACATTTCTTATCAAGCACTGTAGCCTCCTGCTTTGTTTCCCCTTCCCATCCCTTCCCATCCTCCCCCCCCACCCCCCCACCCCGTCCCCCCCACCAAAGTTGTAAAGTTTGTTTTTCGACATAACGACTTGTACATCTCATTGTTGCAATGGGGCCTCCTGTATCCCTGTTTTAACAATTTGTTTTTTCCCTTCCCCTCCACATATACCAACATCATATATAGTGACAGCAGGGGTTGTACCATGGGGGAGGGACATACAAGGCAACAAAGACATAATCTTATAAATATGTTAGAAACAATCCCATGAAAGATCTCTCTTTCTTCTTCTTTTTTTTTTTTTTTTGGTCAGTCGTGTGGCTTGAGCTCTAGGCCTGGGAGCTGTCCCTAAACATCAATTTAATTTTTAAAATTAAAAAATTGACTGATTGTCCTTAATATATCTGGCTATTTTCAAGCATCCTTCTATTAACAGATAACATACAAACAACTAAAATTTAATGGGCATTTGTTATATGACAAATTTTATGGATTAACTTTACCTGTTAAGATATAGCTAGTTACTGGTGGCTCACGACTGTAATCCTAGCTACTCAGAAGGCTGAGATCTGAGAATCAGGATTTAAAGCCAGGCAGGAAAGTCCATGAGATCTTATCTCCAAAAAATTAAAAAAGCTAGAGGCCGGGGTGTGGGGGGGGGGGGGGGAGTATAGTGGTAGAGATGGGAAGGTAGGGATGGGGGTGGGGGAGCTAGAAGTGGCACTGTGTCTCAAATGGTAGAGAACTAGCCTTGAGCCAAAAAAGCTCAGAGACAGCACCCAGGCCCACTGTTCAAGCCCCTGGACTGGCAAAGAAGAAGAAAGAGAAGAAAAGGAAGAAAAAGAAGAAGAAGAAGAAGAAGAGGAGGAGGAGGAGGAGGAAGAAGAAGAAGAAGAAGAAGAAGAAGAAGAAGAAGAAGAAGAAGAAGAAGAAGAAGAAGAAGAAGAAGAAGAAGAAGAAGAAGAAGAAGAAGAAGAAGAAGAAGAAGAAGAAGAGGAGGAGGAGGAGGAGGAGGAAGAGGAGAAGGGGGAGGAAGAGGAGGAGGAGGAGGAGGAGGAAGAGGAGGAGGAGGACGAGGAGGAGGAGGAGGAGGAGGAGGAGGAGGAGGAGGAGGAGGAGGAAGAGGAGGAGGAGGACGAGGAGGAGGAGGAGGAGGAGGAGGAGGAAGAGGAAGAGGAAGAGGAAGAAGAAGAAGAAGAAGAAGAAGAAGAAGAAGAAGAAGAAGAAGAAGAAGAAGAAGAAGAAGAAGAAGAAGAAGAAGAAGAGGAAGAAAGCAAGCTACTTCAGATATTCAGATATACTAACTCAGGGTTGGGAAGGTGGCTTAATGGTAAAGCGCTTGCCCTGCATGCCTGAGGCCCTGGGTTTGATTCCTCAGCACCACATAATCAAAAAAGAAAAAAAAAAATGAGCGAGGTCAGATATACTAACTCAATGAATATCCGTAACATTTTTCATAGGAAGTAGCAACCTCAGACCCCATGTCTTGACTCCATCCTCATCTATTTTTTACCATTTCTCCTCCTTTAATAATTAAAAGAGTTGTCTCCCCACCAGCTAAGGGCAATGCTTATGTACTGGTCCTGTCTCCTCAGGATCCTACTTGTTTTTGTTAGAATTTACCTTATCTCATCGGGCACTGGCAGCTCACATCTGTAATCCTAGCTATTCAGGAGGCTGAGTTCTAAGGATTGTGGTTTGAAACCAGCCTGAACAAGAAAGTCCATGAGACTCTTATTTCCAATAAACCACTCAAAAAAACAGAAGTGGCACTGTGGCTCAAAGTGGTAGAGTGCTAGCTTTGAGCAAAAGAGCTCAGGAACAGTATCCAGGCCCTGTGTTCAAGGCTAATGGCAAAAAATTAAATTAAATTAAAAAGAATTTACGTTATCTCCTCCACTCCTCTGATGTTTAAAAAGAAACTAAAAAAAATAAAAATAAAAAGAGGTGACATTGTCTAAAAAGAAACATACTCTTAGCCCAGTGCCAATGGCTCACACCTGTAATCCTAGCTACTCAGGAAGCTGAGATCATGGTTCAAAGCCAGCCCAAGCAGGAAAGTCAATGAGACTCTTATCTCCAATAAACCACCAGAAGACCAGAAGTGGCAATGTGACTCTAGTGGTAGAGTGCTTGCCTTGAGCTGAAGAGCTTAGCAATAGTGCTCAGGCCCAGAGTTCAAGCCCCACGACGGACAAAAAAGAAAAAGAAACATTCTCTTTACCTGACATATGAAACTGTAACCCATCTGTATATCGCCTTTATAATAAAAAATAAAAATATGTAAAAAATACTTCAGGTAGTTCAGTGGTTGACAGCTTGCCTAGCATACCCAAGGTTTTGGGTTCATCCTTAATACCCATCTCCTGAACAAAATCCCAATGATAACATAACAATTATGCTTCCTCGAGCTTTGCATTTTCACTCTGCATTTTCTTTTTTTTTTTTTTTTTTTGTCGGTCGTGGGACTTGAACTCTGGGCCTGGGCACTGTCCCTCAGCTCTTCAGCTCAAGGTGAGCGCTCTACCACTTGAGCTACAGCGCCACTTCCGGTTTTCTGGTGGTTTATTGGAGATAGGAGTCTCACGGTCTCTCCTGCCCGGGCTGGCTTTGAACCGCGATCCTCAGATCTCAGCCTCCTGAGTAGCTAGGATTACAGGCGTGAGCCACCAGCGCCCAGCTTTCTTTTTTTTTTTCTTTGCCAGTCATGGGGTCTGAACTCTGGGTGCTGTCCCTCAGCTCTTCAGCTCATGGCTAGCACTCCACCACTTGAGCCACAGCACCACTTCTGGCTTTTTCTGCTTATGTGGTGCTGAGGAATTGAACCCAGGGCCTCTTGCATGTAAGGCAAGCACTCTACCACTGAGCCACCTTCCCAGCCTCTCACTCAGAATTTTCATTTTCTTTTTCCTTTTTTTTTGGGTCCAGTCGTGGGGCCTGAACTCGGGGCCTGGGCGCTGTCCCTCAGCTCTTCAGCTCAAGGCTAGCACTCTACCACTTGAGCCACAGCGCCACTTCTGGCTTTTTGCTTACGTGGTGCTGAGGAATCGAACCCAGGGCCTCATGCATGCAAGGCAAGCACTCTACCACTGAGCCACCTTCTTAGGCCTCACTCTGAATTTTCATAGTCACACTTCTTTAAGAGTTGTTCACAGCCAGGCGCTGGTGGCTCACGCCTGTAATCCTAGCTACTCAGGAGGCTGAGATCTGAGGATCGCGGTTCAAAGCCAGCCCGGGCAGGAAAGACCGTGAGACTCCTATCTCCAATAAACCACCAGAAAACCGGAAGTGGCGCTGTAGCTCAAGTGGTAGAGCGCTCGCCTTGAGCTGAAGAGCTGAGGGACAGCGCCCAGGCCCAGAGTTCAAGCCCCACGACCGACAAAAAAAAAAAAAAAAAAGAGTTGTTCACATTTGTAGGAGCCAGTGGCTTGTGCTTGCAATCCTAGCTCCTCAGGAAGTTAAGATATGAGGATTATGTTTGGAAAACAGCCTGGGTAGGAAAGTCTGTTAGACTTTTCTCCAGTGAACCACCAAGAATCCCAAAATGGAGCTGGGTGCACAAGCTTTGAGCAAAATAGCTTAGGGACAGTGCCCAGGCAATGAGTTCAAGCTCCAACCCCCGAAGGGGATTGTTGACATTGATGGGGCTGCGAATGTAGCCTGTAAACCTAGGTACTCAGGTGGCTGAGATCTGAGGATCAAAGTTGAAGCCAGCCCAGGCAGGAATGTCTATGAGATTCTTACTTCCAATTAAACCATCATAAAAGCCTTAAGTGGAGCTGTGGCTCAAGTGGGAGAGCACTAGCCTTAGGCACAAAAGCTTTGGAAAAGCACCTAGGTCTTGAGTTCAAGCCCCAAGACCAGTACAAACACACACAAATTTCACGTTTACAGTTTCTAATTCATTCTTTCCAATCAACAACTGGGTTCTGCTCCAACCGTGGGGACCTGGACCTCATTCCCACATTTGACAGCACAACCTTTTGTATTCCCTTTCTTGAACTCTCTGATTTCTCTGACATCAGCACTCCAGTGACAGCTGACCCAAAAAAGAGGGAAACCAAGTTGCATTTCGGGGAGCTTGACAGTAAAAACAAAGCGCAGGTGGTGTGCATTCCTACTTAAAAAACACCCAAACAACCCCCCCACCAAGAAAACAGCACAAAAACAGATTACTACTTTAAAGAAGGGATAAGGGAGAGTGGAGGAGAAGGGGTCACAGTGGGCCAATAGGCCTGTTGACTTTGGCCCTCGCTTTCACCCAGTGTCCGGCAACACCTCCATGCTCTTCTGTTTTTCATTGTAAAGATGCTGTCTACAGGGTATGAGTAATTGTCTTTCCCCATTCCTTGAGGAGCTGTGGGAACTCAAGGCAGACCTAGAGTTGACTGTGCAAGCGGCAGGGGTAGAGGGCCGGCGACCCGGGGGTGGGGGTGGGGGGGCGCCGGGGGCGGGTCAGACGGCGCCGTACAGAGGACCCGGCGCTCCAGACCTGGATCCAGGCGCGTCCGGGTCGCCCGCGGAACCTTGGGTCTCCCGCGGAACCCCAGTGCTGGGCAGAAGTTGCAGCTCGGCGTCGGGCTCTGAGTGCAGAGGCGCTTGCGGGTGGGTGCGTGCGTGTGGCGCTTCCGGCGTCAGCGGAGCTGCGGGCCATCCTCGGAGGTGTGCGGTTGCTGGCCTTAGGAATCCCGCATTCTCCCAGCGGCGCGCGGGCGCTGTGAGCCTTCCGGAGACCGGCCCTGCGCCCCGGCGGCCTCTGCGGCCCCTGCGCCCCGGCGGCCCCTGCGCCCCTGCGCCCCGGCGGCCCCTGCGCCCCGGCGGCCCCTGCGCCCCGGCGGCCCCTGCGCCCCGGCGGCCCCTGCCTCCCGGCGGCCCCTGCGCCCCGGCGGCCCCTGCGCCCCGGCGGCCCCTGCGCCCCGGCGGCCCCTGCGCCCCGGCGGCCCCTGCGCCCCGGCGGCCCCTGCCCCCCCCGGCGTCCCCGGCGGCCCCTGCCTCGCTCTTGGTCTCCGGCGCGGCAGAAAGCCCGGGTGGGAACTAGGGAGCAGAGAGCTGGGACTCACGGGTTGAACTGCAGAACTCGCATTGTAAAGCATCCTGAGCCCTTGAGAAAAAGAAAAACATGAAGAAATTAAGGCTTAAGGAACTAGAGAGTCGCCTGCAACAAGTGGACGGATTCGAAAAGCCCAAGCTCCTCCTAGAACAGTATCCGACCAGACCGCACATTGCAGGTAGGGCTGGTTCACCAGGCCTTGCATCCCCAGAGGCCCCCCCCCCCCCCAGTGTTGGAATAGAACTGTCATTTGAATACGAAGAATATCTGGAAGAATTCCACCCTCAGCTCAGGTGTTGCCTTCCTGAAGAAAACCCTCAATCCACTAGACACAGCCTGTTTTCTGTGTACCCCTTAACACGGACGGACAGCTTTTTTCTTTTGTTTTCTCTTGTCGGTCATGGGGCTTGAACTCTGGGCCTGGGCACTGTCCCTCAGCTCTTCAGCTCAAGGCGAGAGCTCTACGGCTTTCTGGTGGTTTATTGGAGATAAGAGTCTCACGGACTTTCCTGCCCAGGCTGGCTTTGAACTGCGATCCTCAGATCTCAGCCTCCTCAATAGCTAGGATTACAGGCGTGAGCCACCAGTGCCTGGCAATCAAAGCTTCTTGTGAGGATAAGGTTCTGTGTCCTTTAAATGCTCACCTGATATTAATGATACCCAGAATTGTAGATGTCACTGATCAGTGAAATTTTAAGAGGTCGGGAGACTGACACAGGATCACCAAACTTATATTCTGCCAAGGAAGGACACATTTAAAACCTATTTACTCTTACTGTTATAGCCTTAAAATATTTAAGCAGTAGTCATGTGCATGTGTGACAAATTTTGAAAAGGCTGAGGATAGATAGAAACATCTTGGCTTTGTTTCTCATTTTACATGAGCAATTGATGACCATTCTGTCCTTCTTGGTGCTGTCAGCAGAAACTAGTATATTATCCTCCTCATGGTGCCTCCTCCTACATACTAAGTTATGCCTTACCATTTAAAAAAATACTTTGTTGTTATTATATTTTATTTATTTATTTAGGGTCCGGTCGTGGGGCCTGAACTCTGGGCCTGGGCGCTGTCCCTCAGCTCTTCAGCTCAAGGCTAGCGTTCTACCACTTGAGCCACAGTGCCACTTCCAGCTTTTTTTCTTTTTGCTTATGTGGTGCTGAGGAATTGAACCCAGGGCCTCAGGTATGCAAGGCAAGCGCTCTACCACTGAGCCACCTTCCCAGCCCTTTGTTATTATAGAAGTGATATACCGAGGGGTTTCATTTACGTGAGTCAGGTAATGAGTATATTCCCTTTCATACACGGTTATCCATTCCCTCATTCTCCCAGTCCTTCCCTCCCATCTCCACCCACAAACCTTACCATTTTTTAAATAATATAGAACTAAATGATGTAAGGCATTGTTTTAGTCATTTGCACAAATTAAATTTTGTCATCAGCTTGTTTATTCCTTTTTGATTCTTTTAGCATGCATGCTTTATACAATCCACAACACATATGATGACATTGAAGATAAAGTGGTTGCAGATTTAGGATGTGGTTGTGGAGTACTTAGCATTGGAACTGCAATATTAGGAGCAGGGTAAGTGATCTACTTTATATTTGGGGATGTTGTACCTTAATAATAACTTAAGAAGTAGGATCACTGGAATGATATTCATGAGGTGAAAGTAGTAGTAATCTGATATTAAACATAATTTACATGGGTAGAAGATTAAAAAAAAAACTACTTGTATGGGAAAGTAAAAATGTTTATAGGGGGTAGGGGGGAGGCTGGGAAGGGATGTGAAGGGTAAACCAAAGGAGGAGGCTGCAATGCTTGGTAAGAAATGTACGCATTATCCTGCCCGTGTAATTGTAACCCCTCTGTACAGTATGTTCACAAATAAAATAAAATTAAATAAAAAAAAATGGTTATAGTAGCAACCCCTTTTATACAAATTTGAGTTTCTAATGTGACTCATACTTTGTCAGTTAGTCTAAAACTTTCTGTTTTGACTTTGGAAATGTAAATTGTCACTCTTTTTTGTATATTTTATCTATATAGGATGTGTGTTGGATTTGACATAGATGAAGATGCACTGGAAATATTTCATAGGAATGTGGAAGAATTTGAGTTAACAAATGTTGATATGGTTCAATGTGATGTGTGCTTATTATCTAACAGAATGTCCAAGTCATTTGACACAGTAATTATGAATCCTCCCTTTGGTACCAAAAATAATAAAGGTTAGTAAAAAGAATCAGGCATACTGGTATAGTTGTAGAAAACTTTAAAAATTAAAAAATCATTTTTGCCATTGATTGGTTATTACTATTCATTAAGTGATCAATACTTTATCCTTATAGTTATTACAATTTCAGTTTGCTTAATGACAGATTAAGGAATTGAATTTTTCAATCTTTGTTTATCAAATTTTTGTTAAGTAGTTCCTTTTTCATTTATGACTTATACACCAAATTATTTCACCCTCATGATTATAAAACCTATAAAGATCTTATTGTTTTAGAACCTGGGTTTTTTTTTTTGTTTTTTTTTCTTAATGAGGTTGAAGCTAGGGCCTCACAACACATGCAAACTACATGTTCTACCACTTGGCTTCATCCAGTGTGTCCATCATCAACAGTGACTCTGTGCTGTGGGAGAAGAGAGTAGGAAGTCATTAAGAGGAAGAAAGGACATAGATAATTTAAAACCTCACCACCCCATCCCACACTAGTCTGTGTCCCATTCTTCCATTTTGAAAGTCATTCATTTGGGATCTTTTCTATTGTAATTTTTTTTTTTTGGTCATGAGACTCGAACTCTGGGCCTGGGCACTGTCCCTCAGCTCTTCAGCTCAAGGGGAACACTCTACCACTTGAGCCACAGCACCAATTCTAGTTTTCTTTGGGTTAGTTGGAGATAAGAGTCTCACAGACTTTCCTGCCGGAGCTGACTTTGAACCGCAATCCTCTGATCTCAGCCTCCTGAGTAGCTAGGATTACTAGCATGAGCCACTGGTGCCCGGCTTGTAATTTGTGTTTCTGTGTGCGTGTGCATGCGTGTGTGTGTGGGGAGGGGTGTGGGTGTGTGGGTGTATGTGGGTGTGGGTGGTTGTGAGGCTTGAACTCTGGGCCTGGGTGCTGTCCCTGAGCTCTTCAGCTCAAGGCGGGCTTTCTACCACTTGAGCCACACCTTCTCTTCTGGTTTTCTGGTAGTTTATTGGAGATTAGTCTCACAGACTTTCCTCCAGGGCTGGCTTTGAAAAACCTCAATCCTCAGATTTCAGTCTCCTGAGTAGGCATAAGCCACCAGGCGCCTGGCTTGTAATTTTTTTTTTTTTGTCGGTCATGGGGCTGGGACTCTAGGCCTGGGTGCTGTCCCTCAGCTCTTCAGCTCAAGGCTAGCACTCTACCACTTGAGCCACAGCGCCACTTCCGGCCCATTCTGTTTATGTGGTGCTGAGGAATTGAACCCAGGGTTTCATGCATGCGAAGCAAGCACTCTACCACTGAGCCAGCTTCCCAGCTCCCATGCTTGTAATTTTTTTTTTTTTTTTTTTTTGTCCTTTAACAAAGCAGTTTATGAATACAATGCATTTTGATCCATATCACCCCTTTCAACATTCTCACCCATCCATTCCCTTCCCACCCCTTCCCTCACTCATCTTTCTTGTGTAAGATATACATGGAATTCTTGACTGCCATGCTTGTAATTTTTAGTGTAATTTTTTTTTAATCTGAGGTTGGAACTCTTTTTTTTTTTTTTTTTTTTTTTGGTCAGTCCTGGGGCCTGAACTATGGGCCTGGGCGCTGTCCCTCAGCTCTTCAGCTCAAGGCTAGCACTCTACCACTTGAGCCACAGCGACACTTCCAGCCTTTGCTGCTTGTGTGGTGCTGAGTAATTGAACCCATGACCTCATGCATGCAAGGCAAGCACTCTATCAACTGAGCCACCTTCCCAGCCTCAGGTTGGAACTCTTTTTTTTTTTTTGGGGGGGGGGGGTCTGGTCGTGGAGCCTGAACTCTGGACCTGGGCGCTGTCACTCAGATCTTCAGCTCAAGGCTAGTGCTCTACCACTTGAGCCACAGCACCATTTCCGGCTATTTTCTTTTTGCTTATTTGGTGCTGAGGAATCGAACCCAGGGCCTCATGCATGCAAGGCAAGCGCTCTGCCACTGAGCCATCTTTCCAGCCCCTCTTTTTTTTTTTTGAGTGCATTTTTTTATTGTGAAAATACTGTACAGAGGGGTTACAATTACATGGGCAAGATAATGAGTACATTTCTTATCAAGCATTGTAGCCTCCTCCTTTGTTTTCCCTTCCCATCCCTTCCCATTTGCCCCCCCCAATCCTCCTCCCCACCCCCACCAAAGTTGTAAAGTTCGTTTTCCCACATAACAACTTGTCCATCTCATTGTTGCAATGGATCCACCTGTATCCCTATTTAAAGGACGTTGGAACTCTTGAACTCAGTTTCTGATACTTTCATTCATTGGCTGGTACTCTGCTACTTGAGACACACCTCTAACCCCTATTAAGACAAAATGTTCGGTTTTATACTTTTCTACTATAGCACAGTATTTTGATATTCAAAAAATTTTACCCTGACTTACTGCACAAATAATTCAAAGTGGCTACTTTGGAGTTTAGAAAAAAAATGTTTCCTGTTCATTTAGTCTTCTGCTTGGATAAAAAATATATAATATAAAAAGGAACTTCCCTTTTTACTCTTCACAGGAACAGATATGGCTTTCCTAAAGACTGCTTTGGAAATGGCAAGGACAGCAGTATATTCTTTACACAAATCTTCTACTAGGGAGGTAAGTTCAGCTCATCATGCTAGCCAGGCATGGTGGGAAGTAGAGATCACAGATTTCAGTTCAAGGCCAGCCCACACATAAAAATTCATGATGATACCATCTCATCAGTGATGCAGCATGGTTGCATATGCTCTTATCTCAGTAACAAAGAGGAGCACAAATAGGAGAATCATAGTCCAGAAGACCCTATCTTGAAAATTACCAACATAATCAGAGCTGGCTCAAGTTGATTGAGTACCTGCTTAGCAACTGTAAAGTCCTGATTTAAAAACCCAGTACCACTAAAATCCATGATATTGTCATTTATTTTTAAATTTGTATTTTAAGGATTTGCTGTGAAGACTAGGTACTAATATTTCTCCAGATTCGTTTTTTGACCTCTACCCACTTAAAAACTGAATTTCCCCTTTGTCTACCATCTACAATTGTCTTTTATTCTTGATGCATGACTAACTTCTTTCACTAAAGATTTGTTCAGACAGGAACTGTTTTCAAGAAAGGGATATAATTGAGAAATACAGAACTGTAGTATAACTAAAATTACAGTGTGTTCTAGTTTGCTTACATGTTAAGATTAATGCTTGCTTGTCTATTGCCTATTGATTGGCCTCATGGGCTTAAGGGAGTTAAGGCCTGTATTTTAAAAACATTTAGGGGCTGGGAAGGTGGCTCAGTGGTAGAGTGCTTGCCTTGCAAGCATGAGGCCCTTGGTTCGATTCTTCAGCACCACATAAGCAGAAAAAGCCAGAAGTGAGGCTGAAGCTGAGGTGGTAGAGCGCTGGTCCACAGCTGAAGAGCTAGGGGACAACGCCCAGGCCGAGTTCAGGCCCCACAACTGACAAAAAAAAAAAATTGAGCCTGACCCCAAAAAGGCATGAGTTCAGAAACTATTTATTCTATTATTCCTTTTGCCAGCATATAACACAATGGGGCAAGATGAATTCTAGGATATTAGGGATAGGAATAGGAACAGTACTTTTTTAGCATTAGTAAAAGAGAGTGGGTAAGGACACAGAGCTAGGGGTGGTGGTTCAAGCCTGTAGCCCCAGCTACTAGGCAGGGGGAATTCAGGAGGATAGCAGTTCAAAGTTAGGCCAAAGTTAGCAAGACCCTTATCTCAACAGGAGGAAAGCATAGTGGCGTGAATCTGTCATCTCAGCAACTAAAGGCCCTTTCGGAAAAGAAATAAAATAAGGGCATTGGCCCAAGTGGTAGAGCTCTAGAAGCCTTTGTTCAAATTCTACTATCACCAAAGTAAAAGGAATCGATTGTGGGACCAGATAGGCCTGGATTCAAGTATAAACTCATTCGTCTTTTATCTTGAGGAAGTTAAGCATCATTTCTTCATACTCGAGTATAAGGAAATACCCTATTATACCTCATTATCATTTGAGGATTAAATGGATTAATATTTGCAAAGCTCTTAGATTAGTGCCTGTCATGTCTAATTCTATTTTTTTGTGTGTGTGGGAGGGGCACAGGTTCTAAACTCAGGGCCTGGGCACTGTCATATTTTGCCCAAGGGTAGCACTCTACCATTTGAGCTATAGCTTCTCTTCCACTTTTTGGTGGTTAATTGGAAATAAAAGCTTCACAGGTAGGCGCTGGTGGCCCACACCTGTAATCCTACGTACTCAGGAGGCTGAGATCTAAGGATCGTGGTTCAAAGCCAGCCTCTCGGCAGGTAAATCCATGAGACTCTTAATTCCAGTTAATCACCAGAAAACCAGAAGTGGTGCTATGGATCAGTGGCAGAGTGCTAGCCTTGAGTGAAAGAGCTCAGGGACAGCGCCCATGCCCTGTTCAACCCCCACAACATTTAAAAAAAAAAAAAAAAAGAATCTGTGTATCTACTAACATACATCTACTAGAGAGTTCAGCTAGACTGGAAGCCTGCACTTGCTTTCCCCAGACTTCATCAGCATTTTTTGTTGTTGATTTGTCTCTGTATCCTTTTGCTGTAACAAATAACAGCTAAAAGTCTTGTAAGATTGCCTAGTGAATTATCACACCTGTGGGCACCTGGGGGACTACTCAACATAAGCTTCTTGGACAACAGTAGGTACTGGTGTTGGCTTTCGCATAATGGATAAGAATTCAGCTTTGTTCTATTGCTTTGCCAACTTGTGAATTATGTTACCAGTGTGTCTCTTATCAGTGTGAGCTCTGATTTTTATACCATTTTTGGTCGGTTGTGGGGCTAAACTTGGTGTGGGCACTGTCCTTGAGCCTCTTTGTCAAGGCTAGTGCTCTACCACTCCAGTACTGTTATGACTTGAGAGGGAGACAATCCATCGAGGCACGGTTAAAGGTGAAAAAAGAATTTTATTTATGCTGTTTACAGCAGAGAAGGGGCCTGCAACTTCTTTATCCTGGGCTAGCTACAAAAAACCTCCAAGCCTCCAAAGGGCAGCCCTGACCTTTAGTTGGTCTGCAAACCTCCAAAGCTCCAAAGGGGAAGGCTTTTCCTTTTCCTTCCTTCCTCCTCTGCAGGCCTATCCATTCTCCACAGGCCTGCCCTGCTCTGCTGCAGTAGAGTCCTCTCCATAGGCCTGGCCTGGCCTGCCCTGCCCTGCCCTGCTCTGCCCTGCCCTGCCCTGCTCTGCCCTGCTCTGCTCTGCTCTACTCTGCTCTCTCTCTACCACTGAGACCCCCCCCCCAGCTTGGAACATGCAGCCTATATATAGGCTGTGACCCTCCCCCACTCCGATGCTTTTAACGGTTTCAACCACCACTCACATCCCTCCCCCAAGCTGCCCCTTGTCTAACCACTTTTTGGTTTTTATTGGTCGGTTGTCGGGGCCTGAGCTCTAGGCCTGGGCGCTGTCCCTCAGCTCTTCAGCTTAAGGCTAGCGCTCTACCACTTGCACCACAGCACCACTTCCAGCTTTCTTTATGTGGCGCTGAGGAATCGAACCCAGGGCATCATGCAGTACTCTACCACTGAGTGAACTTCCCAGCGCCTCCAACCACTTCTTGACAGCTCTTGACAGCCCACCCCTTGGGGCAGTGGTAGCAGTCTTTCAGCGCCCCACCCCTTTCTGGGGTTATTATAGTACCACTTCCAGTTTTTGAGTCATTAATTGAAGATGAGTCTCACGGGGACTTTCTCTGCCAAGGCTGGCTTCAAACCACGATCCTCAGATCTCAACCTCCTGACTAGCTAGGATTACAGGTGTGAGCCACCGGCACCTGGCTTTGATTTTATACTGTTAATGAATTATGGCTATGTGAAATACTGCCAGATAGGGAATGTTACTAGACTCGGTGATCATGTTTTTTATTGAAGAAACCTTAAATTCACATGCTCTGCCCAACGCCAAATCTGTTTTTTTTTGGGGGGGGGGGGGGAGGGGATCCGGTGGTGGGGCTTTAACTCTGGGCCTGGGCGCTGTCCCTCAGCTCTTCAGCTCAAGGCTAGCGCTCTACCACTCGAGCCACAGCGCCACTTCCGGCTTGCTTTTTTTTTCTGCTTACGTGGTGCTGAGAAATCGAACCCAGGGCCTCAAGCATGCAAGGCAAACGCTCTATCACTGAGCCACCTTCCCAGCCCCTGTTTTTTTTTTTTTGTTGTTGTTGTTGTTGGTCCTGTGGCTTGAACTCTGTGCCTGGGCGCTGTCCCTCAACTCTTCAGCTCAAGGCGAGTGCTCTACCACTTGAGCCATAGCACCACTTCCGGCTTGCTTTTTTTTTCTGCTTACGTGGTGCTGAGAAATCGAACCCAGGGCCTCAAGCATGCAAGGCAAACGCTCTATCACTGAGCCACCTTCCCAGCCCCTGTTTTTTTTTTTTTGTTGTTGTTGTTGTTGGTCCTGTGGCTTGAACTCTGTGCCTGGGCGCTGTCCCTCAACTCTTCAGCTCAAGGCGAGTGCTCTACCACTTGAGCCATAGCACCACTTTCAGTTTTCTTTTTGAAGTTAACATTTTACCTCATGAGAATTTAATTCTTGGCAGGTTAGCTAAGCCTGGTGCTGCTCTTTCATTGTTTATCAACTTTACCCCTATTTGTCCTTTCACATCTCTGCCAAAACACACCACATCCCATCATACAGCCTTCCAGCTGAAGTACTAAGGCAACGTAGTGCTCTACCACTTTGAGCCACAGCGCCACTTCTGGTTTTCTGGTGGTTAATTGTAGTGGAGTCTCATGGACTTTCCTGCCCTGGCTGGCTTTGAACCATGATCCTCAGATCTCAGCCTCCTGAGTAGCTAGGATTACAGGCATGAATGAGCCACTGGTGCCCAGTGTGTGTGATTTTTAACACTGGAAATATATGAAATTTATGGTTTTAAAAATTCTATCCATCTAACAAACTTCTAGAATAATTTCTAATGAAATTTTGAAAACTTAAAATTTTCAGTAGTATAAAAGTTGCCTTTTTAACATCCAGCTCACATGGAAATCTTGTGTTTTAGCATATTCAAAAGAAAGCTGCAGAATGGAAAATCAAAATAGACATCATTGCAGGTAAGAAAAATCTCAACTCTTTCTAAAAGGACCCACATATATTAACTCAAAACTATAGAATGTTTTCTCTGGTGGCTCAGGCCTATAATCCTAGCTGCTCTGGAGGCGAGATCTGAGAATGAGGATCCAAGCCAGCTCACAAAGACATAGACACAAGACTGTTACTTACTCCAATTAACCAGTAAAAAGCTGGAAGTGGAGGTATGGCTCAAGTGGCAGAGCACCAGCCTTGAGCAAAACAGTCAAGTGAGACCTTGAGGTTTTGAGTTGAAGCCTCAGTACCAGTACAAAGAAAATGTTTTTCTTTCTTTTTTTTGGGGGTGGGGGGGGTCCGGTTGTGGGGCGTGAACTCTGGGCCTGGGCGCTGTCCCTCAGCTCTTCAGCTCAAGGCCAGCACTCTACCACTTGAGCCAGCACCACTTCTGTTTTTTTTTCTTTTTGCTTATGTGGTGCTAAGGAATTGAACCCAGGCATGCAAGGCAAGCATTCTACCACTGAGCCACCTTCCCAGCCCCAAAGAAAATGTTTTTCAGTGGGGGCAAAACATGTATCATTGGTAGTGCAATAAATATAAGCATTTGTCTGATTTTTTTTTTTTTTTTTGGTTGGTCGTAGGGCTTGAACTCAGGGCCTGGGTACTGTCCATGAGTTCTTTTCCTCAAGAGTAATGCTCTATCACTTTGAGTGACAGTTCCACTTCCAATTTTCTGGGGGTTAATTGGAGGTAAGAATCTCAGCCTGAGTAGCTAGGATTACAGATGTGAACCACTGGCACCCAGCTGCATTTATCCAAATTTGATTGTATTCAATTCTGTTCGAGCTTATGCATTTCATTGAAAATGTAGCACCCATGCCCATGTAATTGTAACCCCTCTGTATTTTCACAATAAAAACAAAAACGAAAATGTAGCACCCAGTTACCTAATCACTAGGCCAAAAGACAACTCATGTTATCATCCCAGTGAATAAAAAAAAATGAACTTCAGTAGTGCAGCCTGTAATTCCATTTACTTGGGAAGTAGAGGCAGATTATAAGATTGTGATGAAGGCTGGGAAGGTGGCTCAGTGGTAGAGCGCTTGCCTTGCATGCATGAGGCCCTGGGTTCGATTCCTCAGCACCACATAAGCAGAAAAAGCCAGAAGTGGCACTGTGGCTCAAGTGGTAGAGTGCTAGCCTTGAGTTGAAGAGCTCAGGGACAGAGCCCAGGCCCAGAGTTCAAGCCCCAGGACTGGCAAAAAAAAAAAAAAAAGATTGTGGTGAACCCATGGGAAAAGTAACAATACCCTTTCTCAAGTTCATTCCCAACTACTGCAAAACAACAAAAGAACCACATAGATGTGGAATTGGTAAAGCCTTGCTTGAAATTTACTCATGGAAAAAATGCCAAAATGTGTGCTTAATTAACCTATTTCAGTTTTCTAAGTGCTTACAGAGAAAAATGACTTTTTTCATTTTGGTGGAAGGCACAACATAAACAATGCACACTGAGTCCTCATATTTCATATTTTTTTTTTTTACTAAATTGTGTTATATTCACAACCATCACAATAGGAAAAACAGAACTAGAGGCTAAATATAATTCAAATAACTGAAAAGCCTGAAATAAAGAATGCAGTCAGGAACATGTTTTTTATATAATCAACTTACCATGAATTAGCTCCACGATGTTAAAACTTCTAGATGTATTACTGTTCACAATTAATAATGGGATATTTAATTTAAAAAAAAAGGTTTGTCTCCCTATTATACTCAATCATGTAATATGGAGCACTTAAGAATAATCCCAACAGTATACCAAGCCTGAACCTTGGCACTCCACATGTGGTCTTCAGAATGTCAGCAGTGATATTTATGGAAACCTTTAAAGAGCCAGGATGCAGGTTGTCTATCAAGTGAGGCCTGTGGTTTGAGCCCCAGTACTGCAAGACAATACTAATATGAACTGTGGAAAGCAGGAAAACATTAAAAACATTGTAATTTTTAAAAATGGTTATTACCTGGAACCCTTGTTAGAAATACAGAATTAGAGGCTCTACTCAGACTTACTGAACTAGAATCTGTATTTCCATAAGATCCCCAGGTGGGGGCTGGGAAGGTGGCTCAGTGGTAGAGTGCTTGCCTTGTATGCATGAGGCCCTCGGTTCGATTCCTCAGCACCACATAAGCAGAAAAAGCCGGAAGTGGGGCTGAAGCTCAGGGGGTAGAGCGCTGGTCTACAGCTGAAGAGCTGTAGAAGCTGAAGAGCCCAGGCCCAGAATTCAGGCCCCACAACTGACCAAAAAAAAAAAAAAAAATCATACCACAAAGATCCCCAGGTGACTTGGCTGCACATTACAGTGTGAGAGCTGTGACTTGTAAGGTAGATTTTATCTTACAAAATATGTATATGTAGCTGACTGCCATCCTTCTAAAATAGTTCAGATTATTTAGAAGATGGGAAATAGCAGTTTCATTTCAGAGCTTAGTAGAAAAATAATTAGGGACTTAATACTAAAATCTAGACAAAATTTTGAAGCATGATTATGAAATTAAGCCTGCTATTTAAAAAAATAGAATGTTCCTACTATTTTCATAGGATTTTCTTCCCACTTGCTATCCTTCTAAAAGTCTCTTCTCCTTAACATTGCATTTTAGTATAAATGGTCAAAACAGCAGAAATCTCATACCCAGTTTGGCAAGGTCCATCTTGGAAATACAGCCAGGTCAATAATTGAAAAAGTTAATAGGCCTAAATTGTGAGGCTACCTGCATTTAGTACTTTCTTAGCTTTGTTTTATGCATGGTAAATGCTTAGAAATAATTGTCAGTTTGCTTTTGTTTTACAGAGCTTCGATATGACCTGCCAGCATTATACAATTTTCATAAAAAGAAATCAGTAAGTCTTGATTCTGGCCTGAGTACATGAAGTATTTCCACTGTTATCAAGTTACTTGAGTAAATGGAAAGCCAACCTAAGAGATTAGATAAATTATCTGTGGGAATGGCCCATATTCACTACCCAACACTCTAGCTGAAATTCCCTCTCAAATGTTTTGGGGCACAAAGGAAAAAATAAACTGCTTTTGTTGTTTTCATATAGTATATATTTATAAGTTTGTACTAATATGTTTTCATATTACAAAGGCAATTTAGAGGGAGAATATTCCTTTTGATATTTCAATCTGGACACCAACAGAACTATACATTTAAAAAAAAGTTCACTTAGCTAACAGCAAAAAAAGACAAGTAAAATAACCAAGAATTTCTTTCTTTACAGGTGGATATTGAAGTGGACCTAATTCGCTTTTCTTTTTAAAACCCTCCAAAAACAAAAAGCAGCTTAAAACCTAAAATGAATAAAAAATTTGTTCACTAAACTACTGGTCTCCAGCACCGTTTTCTGTTTTCTGTTGTTTTGATGCAGGTCCTTCTTTGTCTGTTTCTCTTCTTGGTCTTTTCATTGGTCCTACAAAACAAGCAACTTTTGTTAAATTAACATAAGCACTGCTGTATTTCAAAGTATCCTGGGCACAATAACAACTTACCTACTTGATGAGGAAGGTTTTACAGACCGGATTACTACACTTCAAATATCTCCTTCTCCTACTTGAACACCAAAGTAAATCACAATATCCCAAGCATTTCAAGTAGAAGTTGAAAAACCACATCCCTGTTCTTCTCACTAGCAAACAGCTACCTCATCAAGTACAAATCTGCCATGAAACTGCCAAAGGACTTAGAAAGAACTTACCAGCTGCACCCTTTTCATCATCACTGTCAAATTTTGTTTTCTTGCCCTGAAAATGTACTTTTCCTTTTGCAGACCCAGGCTGGGCAGGTTTATTTCCCTTTCCTTTTCCTTTAAATTTGCGCCCTAGAAAGACAATTGAGAACTTAGTTTTTTAAAAAAAGTTTTAAATATTTAAAAATTTTCAAAAGTATTAAAACTTTAAAAAAGTATTTAAAATTTTAAGTATTAATACTTTTATGAGCTAAAAAGTTCACTAAAGCAAATGAGATAAAAATAGCAAAAAAAATCAGAATAACCTTTTGACTTCCATTTGTTTAGGGATTCTTGTTGGTCATCTATGATTTTTTTCAGTGCTTTTTTTTCCACTTCTCCTTCTAGTACTTTCCAAGTCACCTTTTTGTTCCTTAATTGTAGGTCACCATTATTTGCATCTTTGGCTCTATCCAGTGCTTCCTTGGCCTTTTCTTTAAATAGTATTATTCCCTATACACCAAAGAGAGAAAAACAAAGCTATACCGTTAGTTTTTAGTCCCACAATTTCCCTGCAAAATAGTAATCTTTTCTCACCTAGCAAAACAGTCATTACTAGTCTCGATGACTTTTGTTTTGACCTAGCAAAGCAAGACATTTAAAGAAGAGAAAGTATCTTCAGCCACTAGCGCCCGGCTGAGAAAGTATCTTGTTGGGGAAAACATGGGTCTAAGCTAAGTGGCTCAAGAAACTGATTCAATGAATTTAGTGAATGTTAGAAAATGGATGCTACACAAGCAAACTAGTCACCAATAATCTATAATTCAGAAAAGTATCAGGTATACAGTCCAAAAGAAAAATAATCAAGTAGAAATTTAGGATTTTAGACATGAACCACACAAAATTATCTGTACAGGAAGATAGCCAGGGACACTAGCACAAACATATGAGAAACATGTATCTGTACTACGTATCTGATTTCAAGGGCCTTACACGGCCCATGGGGACGAGATGTTTCCATACAGGAAGACACTGAAAACAACTCTAGCTGAGAAAAAGGTGTCAGTACTACAACTAAATCCAAGGAGATGAACTCTGCCAACAACCATGTGACTTTGACAGAGGACCGCAGCCCCATATCTGAGCAATCCAGACTAACATCTTGTTTTTAGTTATAAGACTAAGCAGATAGGCTAACCAAATCATGCCCAGTCTTATAACCACAGAAACTATAAGATGTTAAATGTGTTTTAAATTATTAAATATGTGGCAGATTTTTACATGGCAGTGGAAAAAATAGAAATAACCAACCTAATTTAAAAATTGGTTTTCTACTAATTTTATCTTCTTTTTTTTTTGTCGGTCGTGGGGCTTGAACTCTGGGCCTGGGCGCTGTCCCTCAGCTCTTCAGCTCAAGGCGAGCGCTCTACCACTTGAGCTACAGTGCCACTTCCGGTTTTCTGGTGGTTTATTGGAGATAGGAGTCTCACGGTCTCTCCTGCCTGGGCTGGCTTTGAACTGTGATCCTCAGATCTCAGCCTCCTGGGTAGCTAGGATTACAGGCGTGAGCCACCAGCGCCTGGCCTAATTTTATCTTCTAAGAAGTAAGTTTTATGGGCTTTAAAACTGATACTAAGCCAGATGTTGGCTCACCTATAATCCTAGCCACTCAGAAAGCTGAAATCTTCAGATTGCAGTTCAAAGCCATCCTGGGCAGGAAAGTCTGTGAGACATCTCCAATCAACCACCAGAAAATCGGAAGTGGAACTGTGGTTCAAAGTGCTAGTCTTGAACAAAAGACCACAAAAAAAAAAAAAAAAAGACCCTTGATATTAAAAGTATATTATGCAAGGCTCCTGTTGCTTATGTCTATAATTCTAGCTACATAAGAGGCTGAGACTTGATCGTGTTTACAAACCAGCCTGAGTAGTAGGGCAAGTCCATGAGACTCTTATCTCCAATTAACAACTAAAAAGCTAGAAGTGCAAAAAAAGCACCAAACAACCAAAAACAAAAAACCAAAAACCAAGCGGGGTGCCCCACTGGTTCACGCCTATAATCCTAGCTACTTAGGAGGCTGAGATTTGAGGATTTGTGGTTCAAAGCCAGCTCGGGGCAGGAAAGGCCTTGAGACTCTTCTCTCCAATAAACCACTCAGAAAACCGGAAGTGGTGCTGGAAGTGGTGCTGTGGCTTAAGTGGTAGAGCGCTAGTTTTGAGCTGAAGAGCTGAGGAACAGCATTCAGGCCCAGAGTTCAAGCCCCATAACTGACAAGACAAAACAAACCAACAAAAAACAACCAAAGCTGGGGGTGGGGAGGATTGGGGGGGGGGGGGGGAGGATGGGAAGGGGAAACAAAGGAGGAGGCTACAATGCTTCATAAGAAATGTACTCATAATCTTGCCTATGTAATTGTCTGTACAGTATTTTCACAATTAAAAAAAAGAAAGGTAGAAATGGAGCTGTGGCTCAACTGGTAAGAGTCCCTAAGTCCTTGAGTTCAATCCCCAGGACCCAGACATGGACATGGACATGGGCTCACAAACACACATACACAGAATATATTGTTTCCAAACCTCTTTTGCTCCTCTAACAAAGTCTATCCACTTTATTTCACCATGATTTGAGAAAAGGATGTGTAAATCTTCTCTACAGGTCTGGTCATCTAAATCCCCCGAAAATTTCAGCAAGCATCCAATCTTCTCTTGTATTGATTTCTATTAAGATACACAAAACAATCATAATGTTTTCTTAAAAGCAACCATCTATCTCTAGAAACCAAAAACACTATTCCAATGCAACTTTATCCCTTCATAATGGTTTCCGATTTTAGTTTATTTTATTTCTTCTATAAGTGAGATTTGATTATAAACTACACATATCTGGTTATTTCTAGATAAGTAACAATTTTAGACAATCTTCTATATAAGCAACAATTTTAGTGCAATAATAACTATAGATGAGTTTACATATATTCTTTAAAAAGTTCTAGACTTAGCCGGGCGCTGGTGGCTCACGCCTATAATCCTAGCTACTCAGGAGGCTGAGATCTGAGGATCGAGGTTCAAAGCCAGCCCGGGCAGGAGAGACCGTGAGACTCCTATCTCCAATAAACCACCAGAAAACCGGAAGTGGCGCTGTAGCTCAAGTGGTAGAGCGCTCACCTTGAGCTGAAGAGCTGAGGGACAGTGCCCATGCCCAGAGTTCAAGCCCCACGACCAACAAAAAAAAAAGTTCTAGACTTAGGAGTAAGGTATGTGGCTTAATGGTAATGTGCTTGCCTAGCATGCATGAAGAATTGGGTTTGATTCCTCAATAACACATAAACAGAAAAAGCTGGAAATGGTACTGTGGCTCGAATGGTAGAATGCTAGCCTTGAACAAAAGAAGCTCGGGGTCAGTGTCCAGGCCCTGAGTTCAACAAGCCCCAAAACTGGTTAAAAAAAAAAAAAAAAAAAGAGAAAGAATTACAAGTGAAATAGAATTTCCTATAGATTTAAAAATCATACCCTGCCCCCCAAAAAGTGAGGTATGTGTGGCCAAAAAAAAAAGTCTTTAGACTTAACTGGGGCTATATAGCTCAGTGACACAGCATGTGCTAATTAAATTACTATGTGCAAAAACCCTGGGTTGAAGGTCCCTTCCACCTCTGGCTTTTAAAAATTATTCTAACTTAAGTAAATTAAGATTCCAGTACTATATACTTACCATTTCAGCATCTTCAGCTAACTTTTGTTTTTCTTCTTGTTCTCTACAAATAGAACATGTAATTACAATATATTTAACTACATGAAAAATTTAAGTCCCAATTAACTTCGTCATAACCACAAAATTGCTTAATAAATGAAGCTGTCCTTAGGTTTTCTGATCACTCAATGAGAATATAATTCAATCTCCAGATTATCAAAACAGCTTAAGCTCAGTTTCACTACTAATAAAGCAGACTTGTTAGTACTCATTTCAAAGCTCATCATTCCTAGAAACACTAATTCTAACTTTGTCAAAACTTCAAGAAAGGGGCTGGGAAGGTGGCTCAGTGGTAAAAGTGCTTGCCTTGCATGCATGTAGGCCCTGGGTTTGACTCCTCAACACCACATAAACAGAAAAAAACCAGAAGTGGCTCAAGTGGTAGAGCTCTAGCTCTGAGCTGAAGAGCTGAGGGACAGTGCCCAGGCCCAGAGTTCAGGCTCCACAACCAACAGACCAAAAAAAAAAAAAAACTTCAGAAATTCACCTGTGTCATGATCAGCTTAACACACTTACTGTTTAGCTCTTAATTTAGCTTCCACCTTATTTTGCTTTCTTTCTTCATTTTTCTTTGCAAAGTAATCATCCCTAAAGAAAAAAAAAAAACACAAAGGTTAAGGTCCTAAGGACAGACTGAAAATTATTTTAAATGATTTAAGATAGATCATTAACAAGAATTGTTAGGGGCTAGGAAGGTGGCTCAGTGGTAGAACGCTTGCCTTGCATGCATGAGGCCCTGGGTTCGATTCTTCAGCACCACATAAGCAAAAAGAAAAAAAGCTGGAAGTGGCGCTGTGTCTCAAGTGGTAAAGTGCTAGCCTTGAGCTGAAGAGCTGAGGGACAGCGCCAAGGCCCAGAGTT